TTGCATCATCAGCTGGGATTCCTGGTCTGTGTCTTTTGCCAAATTTACAAGTGATGATCACATATACCCATGACACTCACACACACTACATGGTCTTTCAGTTGACTTACCTGTGCTGCTGTAATGCTAAATATTCTATGTTTTATCCTTTTTTAAAAAAAAAAAAAAAGTTTACCTTTTTCATATTGTTTCCTAAATAACTAAAACACATTTTTTTAAGTTCCAGATTATGAGAAACCATCATTACACACAAATGAAGTGAGAAAAATGTGTTTGAAGTGAGAGTGACATGGACAGAAAACAGAGAAAAAATACAAAGAGAGGAAGAGCTAAGGAGAGCCAGAAGCACAAGTCAGAAGGTATCTCCAGGTTAATGTACACTGACTAGAAAGACAAAAAGTGTATTGTGGGAATGTCTGTCGTAGGACAGAGTAGGACAGGATGCCCTGTTGCATTTATCTATATATTTTGGGCTGATTGGAGCCAACAATACATCACAGCTAGAGACCTGTCAGAGTACAAATACGGTCTTTTTTTGTTTGTTTGTTTTAAATACATTACTCACTCTCTAAAGTCTAATTGTTTTTGATCTGGTAATTTGTGCTGCTTCTGATACAATGCGGGTTGTTACTGCAATGAACTTGGCTAAACTATGTTTATTAATTAACACAGTTTTAGTTGATCACTCCCCTCCAGTTGACATTTGTTTTGTGATAGCAGCATAATATTAAATTGCCCTGCTTAGTAAATATAGCTGTGAATACTTTAATGAAACAATCCTTTTTTTAAAACAAAGAGAGAAAAATAAACAAACAAATACCTAATTTAAGTTTCATCCTGATTTTAATTCATATTAGACTACCAACAGATTACTTGAACTGGGATCTGAGAAGCTGTCACTATGGTAACTGGGATGGGGAGAACATACCATGCAGGCCACTGTGTCTGAGCTGTACCTCATTTATACCAACGCAACATGCATCAAACCTGAGCACACCCTTCCTTACACAACAAAACCCTCAAGTGGTTTACGAAGCATACTCCATTACAGGGACATTTTACCTGTGATGTCAAACCACAAAGGGGTGGAGCTCTGCTGCACAGATACCACACCCACAATCTCAGCCACCCTGTCATTCTCCATCACAGTGAAATTGTAGAATGGTTCATCAAAAATCAGCGGTAGAGTGAGAGCTGGTGGTCGGCGGATCCACTCAATGTGCAGTCGCGCTGTGGAGGATTTCTGAGGACGTCCATTGTCTGTTGCTTTGATCTGAACATAGAGGAAAAGAAAGGCAAAGGGTCTTTTGCAGATTAAAATATTTCCATTTGCTATGATACAATATACCCCACAACTATATCACGCCATTCTTGAAGTCCACAGTATTCATCGCTTTAAACGTTAATGTGTTTGCTGTGTTTTTGGTTTTTAGCTGGCATCAAATACAGACCTTCCACAAGTTGAAAACTTAGATTTCCTTATTTGTTTTGGTATGCTGGTTGATTATTTCTTTGTTGTAACAACACTTTTTGCCATGGTCACAATAAACAGGCATCGGAAAGCATATTTATTTCCCCTTGCCACATTTGTAAGGAAAATGCATTTGTGGGTTTAGGAGCAGAGTTGAGTATATGGGTTGTGCCCTTGAAAAACTTCCAAACAGCTTATTCTGTTATTGACTCTTGTTTGGCATTCTTTATTAGATTAAATGGGGACTCAGGAGCATGTGGAAAAAACACACACAGCCACAAGAGCCTGGCACCTTATTCTCATGCTGGTCACCAGTTTCGTCACACACTGCTGTGAGATGGCATCCCATTCTTCAATCAGCATTTTTGAAGAATGCTATTCTTTTGTCAGAAGCCAGATAACAAAACTAAAATCAGTGTGCATCAATTAAATAAGCACCAAACTCTATTTTGAGTGCTGTTCAGGCAACCTTAATGATGAAGAAATATTTTTAAAGAGCATTTCCTAAAATCAAGATCATCAAGAAAAACAAAAGTAAACACACAATGAATCTTTTACACACATTCCCTAGATTCAGAGAATATGTTCTCCAGATTGTAGAAATGGACAGACCTGCCTCAAACAAGTCCTTCACACCAAAGATTAAGCGATTAATTTATGATTTGGACTTAAATGTTCTTTAACTCACAGAGCAGACATGTTTAACAAATTTTAAAAAAAAATCCATACAGTCAGGATGTCATAGCTCCCTGCACTGAAGGCCTTGCGTGAAGATACCACTGCTGTCTTGGGGTCGATGAAGAACTTCCCATCCTCATTGCCATCCACAATGCTGTAGGAGAGGTCACAGTTTGGCCCATCATCACGGTCATAGGCAAACACCCGATAGATTGGTTCTCCCTTCTTTCTACGCTCCCTCTCTGGAAGTTTGACTTGATACACCTTCTCAGGAAATATAGGCTTGTTGTCGTTTTCATCCAGGACTTGAACTATCACCCAAACAGTACTTTGCTTGGGATTAGGGCCACCATCTGACACCAACACCTGTATGGGCAGAAAGGCTTGTTCAAAAATATATACAGTGTTCTTGAGCTTTCATGACGCATAAGCAACCATGCTGTTCTAGTAGAGATTGTCCCCCAAACATTTATTAGTGTGATGGCATCAGCCACACATCGGTAAATTACTCCATTTGTTCACTTTATTAGTTTGTTTTGCAGTTTTCTTCATTAATATAATTCATTAATCATTTGGTTAAACCTAACTGATATTATCAGGCGCGCACATAGTAGCATTGTGTGGTTTTCCTAAAAATGTTTTGTTATATTAATTATGTTTCTCTTTCTTTGAGTTACCTGGTTTTGGGTGGTGGCTGTTTCCTGGTCTGGGCAAAAGGCGTGGCTGAGGACTCTGAGAACAAAATGCCTGCTCAGCAGGACAGACCATGTGCTTATCAGGAACAGGGTTATTTTAGGTTTAGTTAGGTTATTCTGTGCTTAGTTAATATTAATGTGTTTTTGTTTTCCCCCCTGTTGTGTGAAAATGGTTTGGTCAAACCACTATAAAAGCTACCTTCATGTGTCTTTGTAATTAGGTCAGTTTGTGAGTTAAGTTGTGTCCACTTTGTTTAAGCTTCTGGAAATTACTTTTTGTAGAGTTATATTTGGTTGACCTCTTTTATGGGCCTGCTAATTATGTTTTTGAATTTTGTCATTTTTGAACTTTTTGAGGTTTAAAATAAAGAAAACCCTTTTTGAAGACATTTTTTTGCCTGTGTCCTCTATGCCTTGGCTGCTTGGTCCCTCACAATTAGAAAGTGCAGCTTATTGAGACCAATAGTTAGTTTTAAAATTAAGTGACTGCCAGAGTGAAATTTAGAAGAGGTTGGATAGATAAAGCATTGTTGGGACAAAATATCTGATATGCAGTCATTATTACATAGTTTGAAATATTTACAAAGAACAACCCAAATATTTTGTTCTTGGCTTCTAATCAAACATCCTGACTCACTATACTGCACTTTGTGCAGGTGAGTACGTAGAGCAGGTGTGATCTAGCAGAACAGAAATAGCGCTAAACAGTCTACTGAAGATGTTATCGCCATAGCAACTCCATTTTCAGCCATCTGGACCACTGACAGAACTAGAGGATGCTCTTTGTTGACTTTAGAACTGTCTTTATTACCATCATCTCAAATATTTTGTTCAGAAAACACACTGGCTTTGTCCCAACCATCCACACCTGCATCAAGGACTTTTTGACTCAATATGTCAAATTTCCTCCACCTTCCTCACCTGCCCCCCACACTTCCTTCCTTCTATTACATTGAAGACTGGAGTTCTTAGAGGTTGTGCTCTCCTTTATACACTGTACACCTTCACATCTAGCATTATTAAATTTGCTGATGACACAACTGTTCTTGGGCTTATCTCAGAAGAATATCAGTCAGCATTCATAGATGAGACACAGTAGCTATCAGGATAGTGCTCAGTGAATAATCTGGTATTGCAGACCAAAGAGCTGATATGGACTACAGGACAAAGCATTACTCAAACCAAGGCACACTCATTATTATGGGTAGCATTTCAATTAAAATTTAAGGAGCTCCAGTTAGGGAAAATTGTCCTCAAACAAAGGTATTTGTATTTGTATTTTAACTCATTGCAATACATTTTGAAATAGGCTAATAGTCAACAACTGGATGTCAGTGAAAGAAAGCACATACAATTCAATAGTCTAATTCTGATACCCTTACTGGACGTAACATCACAAAGTGAAGATAACCATCGAGTCTATTAAGGAGATTGTGCTGGACCCCCAAGCAGTAGGAGACCACAACCCACTGTTTATCCATAATGAAGAAATCAATCATATTAAATCCTAAATTTATCTTGGGTTTCAACTTGATTATCTCTTCAGTTGCAATTACCACGATGTGTTCTCGTTTTGTTTTTTGTTTGTTTGTTAGTTTGTTTGTTTTTAACACAGACTAAAGGTGTTTGAAAAAGAGAAAAAAAATTTACTTCACTTGACATAATCAGAAAATAATGTTTCAATTCTATCAGGCTGTACTGGAAAGCATCATAGGGTGTGGCATATCAACATGCAGGGCTCTAGACTAACTTTTTGCCCTGGGCGCAC